TTGGCGAATTGTACGTTTAGTGGAGATTTGTGTATAATAGTGGTCGTTCAGTTGTGGCTTATAGAGAACATTTAGGTTCTTATCAGTTTGTGATCATTCACTGCATATCTATGTTGAGTAATATACGTTATTTATTTGAACATAATGTATGAATGGTAAACATTAATTTGTTAGTCCTCGTTATAATTGGTTTATATCTGAATATCGTTGTAAAATAGTAATTGTTGTAGATCAAATACAGTATGCAATAAAACGTCATCGTATATCAATAACCATATTTGTAAGTTGTGTATAGTAGTTACCGTTCGGATGATACTTGTAATGACTGCTCAGATGCGATTTATATATTTATATTTAGTAGTTGCTGACCTGTTTTCGTCGTCTTTCCTGTTGGTTCCATTATAATAGTTTTTGTTATTCTGTTGTCGCCCATTCTTTGGACGCGTCCATACCAGCGTAGTTGTGATATCCTTCGTTATTCTTTGTTTAACGCACATAATTTCTTACGATTCTTTCGTTTGTTACTCTGACAACATTTCGTTTTTCTTACAGATTTTCTTTAACGTTTGTTCTGTCCCATCTTGAGTGTAGTATACGGGTGCTATACGTCTGATATGTCTTAGATCGCGTCTGCTATATGTCTGATATAAGTTAGATTGCTTCTTCTATACGTCTGTTATGCGTCTGATGTACGTCTGATATACGTCTGATATAAGTTAGAACGCAATAAAACGTCATCGTATATCAATAACCATATTTGTAAGTTGTGTATAGTAGTTACCGTTCGGATGATACTTGTAATGACTGCTCAGATGCGATTTATATATTTATATTTAGTAATTGCTGACCTGTTTTCGTCGTCTTTCCTGTTGGTTCCATTATAATAGTTTTTGTTATTCTGTTGTCGCCCATTCTTTGGACGCGTCCATACCAGCGTAGTTGTGATATCCTTCGTTATTCTTTGTTTAACGCACATAATTTCTTACGATTCTTTCGTTTGTTACTCTGACAACATTTCGTTTTTCTTACAGATTTTCTTTAACGTTTGTTCTGTCCCATCTTGAGTGTAGTATACGGGTGCTATACGTCTGATATGTCTTAGATCGCGTCTGCTATATGTCTGATATAAGTTAGATTGCTTCTTCTATACGTCTGTTATGCGTCTGATGTACGTCTGATATACGTCTGATATAAGTTAGAACGCGTTTGCTATACTTTTCATATGCGTTAGATAGCATCAGGTATACGTCTGATATGTGTTCGATTGCGTTAGATATCTGTTAGTTGATGTTTAAGCGTTGAAACTACGTTTTAAGTATATTAATATAGCGTTATTTATATAGATATGCATCAATTTTTCAAATCATTAAGTGTTTGGCATCCAGTTGAGTAAGACGTGACTACGTGTTTAGAATACGCCTTATGTTTTTAGAAAAACTAACGATGGTTACGTAATAGGTTCCTTTTATCGTCTCAACTTCATTATTGTTGTATACCGATGTTCTTATACAATATTTACCTCGAGTGATATACTGTGTGATTAGAATACCCTACTTAACATCGACGTTGCTCTTATGTCTTACTAACATCTTGATGTATTTGGTTAAGATTATGCTCTACTATAAATTTTTGATTCGTTTATACGTATTTTTTTACAATTTATTTTGTTCGATTATTCAATATTCACAATACTTTGTGGTATTTTTATACGTCATTATGTTATTATTGTTGTCAGATTATGTTAAACGGCTTTAAGCCTATACTTTGTTATATTAATAGCCCATGTTAAATGTTTCTAAATCATGTGATATATAATACGCCTAATAAACTAAGTGCGCTAAACGGGTGCACGTACGGTTCAAACCACTCTGTGCAATTCTTCACACCTCATGTACATTTAATATATTTTTTTATACCCATTTATCGGCACTTGTTAATTAATATCCTCCGTGGGTCAGCGATGTGCATACTTAGCTTCGGTGCTGCTGGTCCCGAGTTCGAGTCCTACACAGGGTAGAATTTTTTATTTAATAATAATAAATAATTCATAATTTGGATTAAAATTGTCTTATAAATAGTAGATAATAGTTGAAATACAAAATTAATATTTAATTAATTCATATTAAAAATAACTAATTACTGGCGGTGACGGCTAGCGTGAAAAACAAGTTAGGACTTGTCGGTTACGTCATCGCGGGGCTTGACCGGAGCGCGGACTGGGCTTGTGACGTCAGGGGTCAAAGGTCAAAGTGGGTTATTATATCGAGAGGCAGTCACGCGAGAAGCGTGGGGCTGCCTCGAGAGTGCGGGGGGTCAAAGTCCAAAAAGTGGGGTGAACCATATCCCTCTCTCCCTCTCTACTAACTATGTTGCATTGTATTTATTGTATTGCAATTTTTATATTATTAACAAAATAAACAATGAATTTTACTGTAGAGTATGTGTAAAAAAATGTTTTTGCATTCAACTCCTTTTATACATATATGAAAATAAAAATATATATTGTCATTAAAATATTGATACAATCCTTCATTTACTATACATACTTCTATTACAGGTGAAATGTTTATATACAGCAAACGATACACCATATACCCATATAACTAATTCTGTTTCTCTCTCTCTCTCTGCTCTCTCTTACCTATAGCATTACATATGTAATGATTTCAGATTGACTCCTATATAAATTTGTAACGGCGAAAGCGTGTATAGAAGTATAACTTCCACCGGCAGTCCCACTGGACTGACACACCCGTTTTTTTTTTGTAGAATTCATATAATTCCCACGAGTCGGGACGTCAAACGCGGCTGTGCTCCCTTACCGCGTCAAGGCTTGCTACCCCGGGAGGTCGCCAGGTCTCCCTGAGCTTTCGTTTGTGGTGCTCTAACCCTCGCACCTCCCCGCCATCTTAATTTCTGTGCTATAATAAATCTAATTATATCTCCCCCTTCAATATTCTTAATTTTTCTTTATCTTTATGTAACTACTGGTCTGATTGCAACTCTGTATATTTTCAGCTCTGTATTTCTGGATCTTCTTGGAAGGAATTTCTCGTCCTTAATTAGTCTATGATATCTCCAGTATCTCTGGTTGCCTGCTAGTATTCGCTCCGTTACTTCTTTACTTCTCTTATTCTTGCCCTTCACATTACACCCAAATATTTAAATCGTTGAACTCTTTCAAAAATATAGTTTTCTATCTTGATTTCTCTTCTAGTACAGAGTAAATATTTTGTATTTCCTTCGATAATTTCTAGACCTCTTTTTCGTGTTTCATTTGCTAGGATTGTTAATGTTTTTTTAATCTTTCCTTGTTTCTTCCCATAAGAACTATGTCATCTGCATATGCTACTATTTGTGTTGAGGAGTGGGCTATAGTTCCTTTAATTTCACTGCCCTTGATTGTTCCTTCTACTGCTATGTTAAATTGTGTGGTTGACAGGCAATCACCTTGTCGCACTTTTGTTTCTATTGAAATTGAGTTTGTGCTACCTTCTTTTGTTGTTATTTTAGCTCGAGATCCATCAATAGTCATTTTTGTTAATCTGCCGGTATACCATTTTTCATTCATTAAATAATTTATTTCGTCCAATTAGTCTAAAGTCTACGAAGAGAGTGTATTGCATCTTTAATGGATCTGTCTTTCCTGAATCCTTGCTGGTACTCTAAAATTTTATTCTCTATGAATTGAGTGAGTTTTTGTCTGATGAGTGCTGTTAGAATTTTGTATGTTGTACTCAGTAAAGATATTCCTCTATAGTTGTCACAGTTTGTTACTTCTCCTTTCTTAAATATTGGTATAATTCTACCTTATTTTCAATCCTCTGGCATTTCTTCTACTTAACCATATTCTATGAGATTGTAGATGCCTGTTAATAATTTGTCCCCTCCGTTTATAATTAGCTCATTTGGAATTTCATCTGGCCTAGGTGTTTTTTTTTCTGTTTTATTATTTTAATGACGTGTAATTATTCATCATAGGTTGGTATCCCTATTTCATTATCTCTCATGTCTCCTATCATTCATCTTCAGGGCTTACTTTGCAACTATATAGTTCTGATAAGTGTGTTTCCCATAATCCATTGTCAATTTTAACGACTGGTCTACATTTTTTTTTTGTTGAGCTTTTAGGTATCCAAAGAGTTTAGCGCTGTCGTTACCATTGTCTTCTAGGTCCTTTAACAACTCTCCACAGCTTTTTTGTTTTTGCAGTAATGATTTGCTACTTTCTTTTTTTTTTCTTTGTATTCATTTCGATAATGTTCGTGTTTAGATGATATCTTGTTGATATGTTCTGTTTGATTTTGATTTCGCATTCTGTATCGAACCATTCTTTCATTCTTTTTATTTCCCTCCATTCAAGCACATCTGTAGCTGAAGTCAAGATGAATTCTTTTACATTTTTCCATATTTTCATAGTGGTGCTGTCTTCGTTTATTAGCGTCGTCATTCTATTTTTTGTTTTTATTTTTAATAATACAATTATAAATGACTCTCAAAAATAGTGCGATAAATAAAGTGATTTATATAATCCAAACTTTTAAAGATAACTCTAATACGGCATGATGAAAACTTGCAAACACCATACTCATTACACACAATATACAATTTTCCATCCAACATTTTAAATATGTCCTCCTCAAGAAATGTCTGCTACATCGATATGTATGAAGATATTTTCCCTACCAAAATTATCCTAGCACAATCAAGTATACTTGCAATACACTGATATCTTCAAAATATACTTAATATACAAAATAAGACATAATTTATTATTTATAACAAATGTAAAATTTCTTTTTAGTTGTTAAATCAGCTTATCGGGGACCTGACAATGCGCTGCAGATTGTAGAGCCCGAAACTGAACGTCCAAAGTAACATAAAACCAGTTATAAGTAAATCTATATAGTAAATTTAGAAAATGAATTTATATGTGCAAACAATTCAACATTTTTACGGATTGCTGTTACAAAATATATAAAATTATCAGCTATACTTACTGTTTTATTTGAATCTCTCCATCTTGATGAAGCAAAGGAATCATTTGGATTAACAGCAACCAATTTAGCATCTTGCACCATCGGAGGAACGGCTAAAAGAATATTAAAAAATATAAAAGAATATAAATCAAGAATTCTGTTTTTACCGTTTTGTAATAAGTCCGAAGCTCTGTTCAGATTGCTAATAAAGGTTTGGTCTTCCGAATTGTCGCTTTCTTGCTTTGCGACTAATAGTACTCTATTTGCTAATCTGGCAATGGCTGACGTATTATCAACCATTTTCTGAGGTTGTCTGTTTTTAATAGCCTCTTCACATAGAAAAGTGTGCTTTTTCATTTGATCCTCTAAAAAATAAATATATTAATTTCTTTTTTTTTTCATATAATTATAATTAAGAAAACGTTAGTTACGTCAACTTACTAATAAATATTTGACTATAATTTTGCCGTATGTCTATAATCCCGTAAATATTAGTTATTCATAAAGAACAGGCAGTGTTTTAAAATTATGTTGTACAAATACACATTCTATTGCGGAAAATATACATTTTTGCTTAACTGGTGATCAAATATCAACAATTGAAGTTCTAAGTATTTTAAATAATTTTTTATTGAGTTATCAAACATATTTTGAAATCACAATTATTCACTTTTTTATTACAGTATGTTTCACAGCTATAAAAAATTACCATGCTATATTGCAATGCTAAGACATTCACTTAATATTTACATAGATTAATTGAAAACACAGATAAAATTGAATATAATATATAATATATAATATATAATATATAATATATAATATATAATATATAATATATAATATATAATATATAATATATAATATATAATATATAATATATAATATATAATATATAATATATAATATATAATATATAATATATAATATATAATATATAATATATAATATATAATATATAATATATAATATATAATTACATAGTTATTGTATGAAAGCATTGCACTCAATACAAAAACTTTTGTTATATTATCTATTGCTAGCACAAATATTCCCGGTTAAGGCTGTTTTAGCAGTTAAGGCACACTGCGATTTGAAATGGACGTATCACTTACTTTTCTACACTGCTTACGCCAGACCATCTTTACTCAGTGGCGCTGGCCGACGGGAAGTTTAATGACAACAAATGCATTATTCTTCATTAAAATTAGTTTTAACACGAACTAATTGCCGTACGTTCATGAGATTTGACGTCACGAAGGCGATAACGATAAAAAACTAAGCGCCAATGATGAGTAACACGTTTTACTATTAGATTTTAGTATTTTTTATCAATTTTGTTCAAAGTTGGAACATGCTTTTCTCGACTATTACTGGACACAGAAAGATAAAAAAATCAAAGATTACAAAAAAAAAACTCTTCTCAAGTGATAATTGGCGTAAAAAAGTTGGTTATAATAGAACGTTAAACAGTATAATCCAATTTTTCAACAGAAGTTAAAAAAAAAAAAGTAAAACCATCATTTTAAAGGCAACATAATTTCTAATAACGTGTCCAAATTTCGAGACATTTTGTCAGTAAATAACAGAGAAAACAGTGTCCCTAGGTTTTATGCACCGATAAAACAGCCTTAAACAACGTTGTCCCCGGCTAAACAAGTAAGGACATGGGTAAGTAAACGATTTATTCCACTGTATTTAAGATCATATTTAACTATTACAAGAAACACTTGTCTTAGTTGTAGAATGTCTGCCAACAGTGCCAGATGGTGTAGATAGAGGTAGTGGATTTTCTAAACGGCTATGACTCAAGCATGCACAAAGTACAAATTACGCTTCGTAATTTGTACTAACCATTTTAAAAATGTCGCGTACATACGGAAGTGGTATAGAGTACAGTCAAATTGTATTTTCGTTTCAAATGAGCTTATTTTATAGGCAACAAATTTTGTTTGTAAGTGTAAGTGAGTTAATTTTATTTCAAAATTTTAAAAGTTTTTAATTTTAGTGAAGTAGTCAGTTTTCTACAGTGGAATTCAGTTTCCTATAGAAAATCTTCTCTGCATGCTCAAAAAGTATATTGTCGCATTTCCGGTTGTTACTAACTTTGTATCTCCTTAAGCGACCTGAATAAACGGAGAGTTTTTGTTTTAATGTGTCTAGGCAGTGTTGAGCTGTGTTGTTTTCTGGATCATGTTGTGAGTGTCTTGAAGTGTTCAGAATAATTTCTTCTTTTATTTCCTTTTTGACTTTTTACTCCTCGGATGTATTCCGTAATTTGTCCAATATCCCTGCGCAATAATTCAATTTTCCGTATCAGTCGTTTTTCTCAGGGTGCAATTCTGTTTTCAGTTCTTTCGATATTAGCACCCCGTCGTGTTCTGATCTTAATGCCCAAAACATTAGCAACTGCTGTTGCTGCAGAGTAAATAAGCATTTGCAAATATTCTAATGCATGGGCCTCCACGGTATAATTGGGTAGGCCTTCAGTGTTCATAATTTGTAACAGCGCACCTAGTTTCTTACAAGAGTTTATTTTCGGTAGCGGACGTGTGTTAAGTGGGTTTGTCCCATTAAACTCTTGTACGGCACGTGCCATTTCACTTACCAGGCTATTGTGCAACTCGTTGTCCTGCTGCGTATTAACAGGTTGATTGCATGAGAGGCTCAGAAATCTGCTCATTAGGGATTTTATTAGGGGCTTGATTCACAACTGATTATGAATCTTCCGTTCGACTACGCTTCTAATGATATCGAGTCTAGTTTCTGGGATAAGATTATTTCTTATAATTAATTACCCGGTATTGATTTGCTATTCGCTGTTCAGATACTTGAATCTTTGGGTACTCCCTGCAAAATTCGACATAAAGATGTTGTCGACCTTGTAATAAATAGAAGCGTAAAATATTTTCGTTTATAGACACAGTCCATTTCAGGCGCTGGCTCGGTCATTCCGCTTGAGTGAGCGCCGGTTGATGTTCCAGCGCAGCTCCTTTAGCGAGTGCAGCTCTTGTTGTAGTTTGGCTCACTTGCGGTTGTTGTTGTTGTTGGGCTGTAGCTGAATGTATGACAGGGGCCCGCCTCGTCAACACCCTGTCATTGACGTCCCGCATGCTGTCACGTCCAGCGCCGGCTCCAGACGTGCCCTGGCAATCCCCGGGTAGCGACTCTAAACATAAATTATTAATCTCTATATTCATGGGTGTGCATTTTATACCTACTTTCAGGTATCAGTTTTATTCCACGCCACCCCCTCAATACTAAAAATACCCAGAGTATCACCCATTTGCAGGGGGGCGCACCTGATAGACGAACTGATAAAAACCTGGTTATTATTATTATCCAGATTTAGTCATACGGCTCACACTCTCTCTAAGAGGAAAATTCTGTCATCTTAGATATCTACGGTATCAAAAGGATTAAGCTCTGGTGAGGCTCTTTTCGTGTTATCAAGCCCTAGGTGGTTTGGTATGCTGGAGTATGTACCAAAAATTTTTGTACACATCTGGTTGTCGAGAGTAGTACAGCTTTCTGCACGGTCTGTTTAGACCCAGCTTTTTTATGTTTTCTAGGAGGTTCTTCGGAATGAATCTAGTGGTAGAAAGAATAATAGATATAGTCTGAGTACTTTGCATTCTCCATTGTCTCCTTGTTTGTATTTCCAAATCTCTGTACTTGGCGATCTTTTCGTTATACTTAATACGCAGGTTATTGTTGTTAGGTATCGCCACATCGATTAGTGTTGTTTGTCTCTTTAGTTTATTAACTAGCACATGATCTTGTCTATTATGTGCTAAAGTTTCGACTTTGAGCACAGTGCGATCCCAGTATAGCTTGTAGGTGTAATTCTCAAGCATACTTTCAGGAACGTATTGATAATATGTCATGCCGTTCTTTATATTCAGTTGCAGAAAATGTCTGACAGCCTCCAGTAAGATGTTGAATGGTTTCTTCTCTTCCTTCTAAATACCGTGGTAATGTCGTTCTTTCTACTGCACTTCGAGGATAGTGTTTTTGTGCCTTTGTGAGGTGTGTTCGTTCTTTTCGCTGAAAAGTATCAATATACGTTTTAGTCCACTAATAATACCCAATGAGTAGCTAAGCGTGGAAAATGCGTATGTTTAATGCCTTAAACTAATTTTTACTATTAAGATCTGAACGCAGTAGCTATTTTACCCTTCGTATGAACTTTGAAGTTAATCCGATTTTCATTTCTTTATTGTCAATTTTTTGCGCTTGCTTTACTTGTAAACATTTATACATGGCATTTTCACCCATAGCCTCGATGTTTTGACCATTTTGCATATCCAATCCTCCAAGCTGAACTTTTCTCTTGACTATATTTAGTACATATGTCTAGCTCAAAGTGCACACTGATATCATTTGAGAAAGTTTCTACTGTTTTTAGCATTTGATCTAAGTGATTTTGAGTGGAAACCACTAGATTCAAATCATCTATATACAACAGATGATTAAGCTTCGTGGTTACATACAGTATTGCTGTTTTTAATGCTAAAACCTGAGTCAGCGGAGTTAAACAGCTGGGATAGTGGGTTCACCGCTAGACAAAACCACAATGGACTTAGCGAGTCTCCTTGGAATAGGCCGCGGTTAATTGTGATATTTTCCGTTTCGATATTGTTTTCACCAGGATTTGGAGGTGAATTTTAGTCTTGTAATCTGTCTTAATAAATTCGAATGTAATTAAAGTCGAGGAGTAAAATATAGTTTTATTAACATCTACTGAATTAGTACACTATAGTTGTTGTTAAGGTAAACATTTATGATAGACTGCGTTCTAAACTAGTCCCGAAACTATAAGCTATATATTACGATCTCACTAAAATGCTAGAACAAAAACCTTTGACTTTTGAAAACTGGCAAATATAATTTGAACCAAGGAAATGATTGCAGGCATTTCCTCAATAAATATTAGGCAATCTATAGTTTGCAGGAAAATGAACAAACTGTAATTAAGCTACTAATCGATATGTTTCACAATTATATACGGTGAAACTATACAAATTCAGGAAATTAAGATTAATATAAGATTATAAATTAATGAACTACATCACAACCCTTTATAACATCATAATATTAATTTACTTGGTTTTTGAAATATCTCACCTGAATAAGCGCTACCTATAACTTGAATATTTAGAACTTATGATTTAGACATATTATCGAATTCAGATATATTTATTAAGTAAAACTGATCTAGGTAGGATTGCCTGAAAGTTTTACGTACATTTGGTTGTGAGATCGTATGTATTCGAGGCGCTGGATGAGGTTGGATGCAGGAACCTTGATGCCTTTGTTTTTTAGCTCTCTTGGCATTCCGAAGATATCTGACTACCTTTCACATCATTACAATCAACATAACACTGAATATAGCCATTTGTCCTGTGGTTAAATGCGGAATCCACTGATGGTTAGCAATGGTTTTCCACATGTGTTCGGATATGTATTGGTCCAACTGCTCTGCCTCAAGTACTATATTTGGCAACTCACCTCCCCGAATGTCTATATTATGTATGGGAATATTGATCTGTTTTATTATCGGCCTCTGCATAAACTCTTCAATGAGGCTGACGGGAGTCTTTAAGTAACTTCGAATTGCTATTTTCAATCCATTACTGGATGTGAGTAATGTTATGTTCCGGGTCTGAGCAACGCATTTTGCTGACAGCTTTATAAAACTCATTCAGATAAAGCACCATCGCACATTATTAAATTTATAGCGTATGGCGGAATAACTATCCAGATGTTCGGTGTGCTCATTTTCAACCAACTGACTTCCTTTATCATGTCTCTACTATTTTGCAGGTGGTGTTGGGAGTTCTATCATATAATTCATTTAAGATACAGTTCGGCTTATGATCCATATTAATGATTGCAATAGGTGAACATGCCAACTCTCCTTTTAATCTCCGTTTAATTCTATACACCTTTCTTTATCTTTATATGTCAGTTTTCAAAATAGTGTAAATTATTATAATCTACTGCAAATAGATTCCTTTGGACTAACAACGAGCGAACACACCACTTGTCACTTTCAGTAGGTATTATCTAGTGTTGTTAATTATTAGCCAATAATGAGAATATGGACGATGTCTCCTTCTTCATCTTGTAGAACCGTATTTATTATTGGCTGCCTTCTTATATCTCCTCATTGTGGAAGGAACTTTGTAGCATTCAACATAATTGACTCTATTTGTCCCGTTTTTATAATATCTATGAAGTGTCTATGATTGTAATGAAGGTTTAATATTTTTTCGTATGTGTTCATATATTCTCTTGTATATTCCATTGCAAGGTCATAGGCCGCTTCCACTTTCCGTCGAATGAAGTCTTTTCATAATGTACCAGATCTATTTGAGACATCGCTTAGGTCTTTAGACATTTCCTTGGTTCCTTTTATCAGTGCTTCTCGGAATCTAGTTAAATGTCCATTTATTCTTTCTTCTGTAGAATTAGTCGAAGCTATCGTTTGTAACATCATCTTCGTCTGATCTTTTGAATTTTTTCATATTTCCTTCTGATTTTCATCCAAGGAATCGATGTCTCTGTATACTTCATCATTTACTCAAAAAATGATGTGAGGACATTCCTAGAAGTCCTCTTTTCGGCCTTCTTTTAACTTTCAGATCCAATCCTCTATTTATCTTTTTGCCCGTTCTTGTTCTTCTTTAAGCTGACTCGATAGTGACTCACAATTTATGATACTGCTTGCCTTATACATATCTTCCAGAGATCCTGCCATTGAATCTATCGTACGATCACCATCTAAAATTATTTTCTTTTCTATATGAATTTTGTACAAGTCTGCGTTTGACGGTTTCAAAAATACTAAAAATAGTATACCTACAAACATAAATTTTTCCACATATTACGTGTACTATTTGTCTTTCGTGAGGTAGGCTCTCGTACTATTAGTATCAGCTTGTCTATAGGCTTCAGGCTCCGGGATATATTTCGATTATCTTCACTAGTGGCCCTTTACCAAGCGAAGTATCGTCCTCCTCAATTATTACGACTTCTTCTTTTTCTAGGTTAGTGACGGGTTTTTGCCACGTATATCGCTGTTGTAGATTTGACAAGTAGTCATGTCTCCAACTGTTCAAAAAATCTCTTTTTACCTTTTCTAACTGCCTCCACCATTGTGGCATATTCGTATAGGTGCTCAACTCTTCCTCCCTCTTTTGTGAAATAAGTTCTCTCCCAATTAGGAAGTGTCCTGTGGTTATTATTACTCTGTTCTCTGCATTTTTCGTATCAACGCATAAAGGTCAGGAGTTCATGCATGCCTCTATTTGAGGTAGCACTGTGCTTAGCTCTTCATATGTTAACGCTCTATCCCCAATTATTCCCTTAAAATTATATTTCATAATTTTCACAGCGCTTTCCCACAAACCTCCGAAATGTGGCCGATACGCTGGTATGAAGTCTCAATGCGTTCCTAATGCGTGTCTGTTAATGATGCCTTCACCTTCTCATTATTCTGGAATCACAGGTTTGCTGCTCCAACAAAGCTTGTTCCATTGTCACTGTATATGTGGCTTGACTGTTCTCTTCATGCAGTAAATCTTTTAAATGCAGATACAAGTGCATCTAAAGTCATATCGCTTACAACTATGAGGTGTACAGCTTTTCTGACTAGGCATAAAAATATTGCTATATCCCTTTATAGCTCTTTTACCTTCTTCTTTTGCTTGTTCTTATTTTGATAATTATAACAGCCTGTTTTATAATTAGTTGATGTTTGTAGGATTTTAACATTCGTATAGTCAAATTTGTGACCTGTATTGATAGAGTGTTCGACAACAGTTTTCGCTGTTTCTGGAAATGTATTATATTACTAAAACACAAAGTGTAATAAATTACAAAACAGATACGAATCAGCTAAGCAGCATCTACAGCAATATTCTGCAATTTATTTAAATCAATATTAATTTACGATATACCTGCTACCTTATTTTTTATATATAAAAAAATTTCAGAAAAATCGTCTAATCCACTATACACTTTTTGTTGTTTTATGTGTATGTTAACTTATCTTAACTTATTTTATTATTAGGTCTGATTATTATCTTCTTCCTGTATAACTGTGGTTATCTGGAGACTTACATCTTCGGTTATGTTCTCTTTATCTTCAAGTCTTTTACAATACTGGCATTGTCGTTTCAAACAGGGTCGCCTAGAAAGAATATCGGCATTTTTATGGAGACGCCCTTTTCTATGTACTACGTCGAAGTTATACTGTTGGAGTCTCTCTATCCACCGAGCCACTTGTCCCTCTGGCTTCTTAAAATTCATTAGTCACTGTAAAGCGCTATGGTCAGTTCTCACTATAAAATTTCTGTTATAAAGAAAAGTATGAAAATGTTTTAGGGCTTTTATAATAGCTAGGAGCCCTTTTCTGGTGACACAATAATTCTTTTCAGCCTTTCCCATTGTTTTACTAAAATATGCAATAACTTTTTCTTCGCCTTCCTGTTCTTGTGATAATACTGCGCCAATACCATGCTGAGATGCGTCACAATCCAACAGAAATTTGCCATCTCGTGGATATGTTAGAATTGGTGCTGTTGTAAGTCGTTTTTTTTTTAATCTATGAAAGCATTTTGACAATCCGGTGTCCAGTCAAATTCAATGTTGTTTTCGGTTAGTCGATAAAGGGACTTAGCTATGAGGCAAAAATCTTTAATACATTTTCGGTAATATGAACAGAGTCCAAGAAAACTTCTAATTTCCTTTTTATTTCCTGGTTTAGGCCAATCTTTAATAACTGAAATCTTCTCTGGATCAGTTTTAATTCCTTCTACTGAAACGATATGTCCTAAATAGTATGCCTCTCTTTGAAATAGTGAACATTTCTTATAATTTAACTTTAAATTGGCATTTCTCAATCTATCAAATAACTCGCTTAAGTTTTTCAGATGTTCATCAAACGTTTTGGACATAATCATTATATCATCAAGATATACTAGACACGTTTTCCAGGTAAGTCCTCTTAAAACCATCTCCATTAGACGTTCAAACGTAGCTGGAGCATTACACAGACTAAAGGTTAGAACCTGAAACCTGTATAGACCACGGCCAGTTGAAAAAGTTGTTTTGTCTCGATCATCAGAATGTACTTATACTTGCCAGTAGCCACTTTTTAAATCTAGGGTAGAAAACCATTTAGAACCTGATAAAAGTGTTTAGTGTATGATCTATTCGTGGCAACGGATAACTGTCTTTTTGTGTAACCTGGTTTAATCTTCTATAGTCTACACAAAAGCGAGTAGATCCATCTTTCTTAGTTACTAAGACTACTGGTACTCCCTGTAGATTTCTCGGATTCAAAAATGTCATAGTTTTCATTAATAAATTCGTTAATTTTGTTGAATTCTTTAGTTGTTTCACTAGAGCAACTGGGTTACTGGAAGTTGTATTCTTTTTCAAATATTTTTCGCACTTACTTATTTATTTTTATTGGTGTACAGAATGCTATTTGTTGTTCTTTCTTAAATTTAAAAGGCTTTTTAGACAAATTAGCAACCCTTACTCGAATCATCTCATCTAAATTAATGAGGCACCTGGCTATCAAAATTCCATCACTAACTAATCACATCGCTTTCTTAACGCCGAAATGTAGACCTGCAGGTTTTTTACTCAGTCTAGCCAGGAGGATACTTTCAGAATTTTGAGGAATTTCGGTATCCTCGCTCACTATAGCTCTTACTTGAGGTACCGATTCTTCTAAATTAAGGACAATTTCTTCATTTTCAATTAACAAAATCTTATTTTGAAGATCTATGATAAATTTGTTCTGCATAATATCCATCCCAAGAACGCATTCGTCTTTAATATCGGCTACAAGGAAAATCTGTTTTATCACGGTGTTACCAATCTGTATGGTTGCCGTTATCTCTCCATGAATTGGAATAGTGTGGCATAAAGCTGTTTCAAGAACTAAATTTGTTTTAGTGGGTTGTAGTTTCTCATTCAGAAATCCGGTTCGAATAAAGGATCTGGTTGTACCGGTATCAATAATAAAGGTGTATTTTTGATTCTCAACGTAGCCCTTAAGTAATAAATTCTGTTCATTTTTATGTAAGGTGTAAGTGCGAATTTGGGGGCTTTTATTAGCTACAGCCGACGCCCGCCCCTTAGTGTCGTTTCCCTGGCTATTGTTTGCGTATCTAAGGTCAGTTGTGGGAGATCGATTTTTTTAGAGATTTAGAGATTTTTTAGATATTTTAAATACTCTACTAGTACATAGTACTAGTAGAGTATTTCTACTAGTACTATGTGATGGGCTTCTGGGTGTCGATCTAGACGACCTTCTAGCCTCATTCTTTGGATGTTCTCTCCTTGTTTGGGATCGGCTTCTGCAATTGTTTTGAAAATGTCATATTCTCCCGCAATTAAAACATCTTCTGTTTTATTTCGAGGTTTTTGTTGAAGATTTTGCAGTATGTTTAAAATTTGGGATAAAATAGGCTGTTGTTTATCTGCGGTTGTGATTTCTTCATTTTCTTGAAATCTTAATTCTCTTAATTTTGGACGAGATCTGGAAATGCTTTTTGCCGCTTCGTACTCCTGGGCTTAGACTAGTACTCCATTTAGCGATTTGTGATGTTGTAATCGGAGAGCTTGTTGCATTTCAACATCTGTGTGTGTGTCGTGTGTGTCGTGGGTGTCGTCGTGGGTGTC